GATCTCCGTCCACCAGTCAACCACCGACTGGGCCGATTCAATCAACTTGCCCTAGGTTGGACTTATAGTTCTAGATATTTCATCCTTGGCGGTGCTGGACAACACAACAGACTAGCACAATGGCTATACCTACCAAAGAACCTCGATTCAGGATTTCGTCCTTGGCGGTGTTGGACAACACAACAGGCTAGCACAACGGCTATACCCCACCAGAGGACCTCAATTTAGGATTTCGTCCCTGGTGGTGCTGGACAACATAACAGGCTAGCACAACGGCTATACCTCACCAGAGGACCTCAATTCACATGTAAGTCCGCATACAGGATCAACTAATTGAAGTACATACAGTAAACCAGTTACACTGACCAGAGAACGAGTGTGATAAAGTATACCCTCGTCTCGTATAGAATAAACAAGAGTCACAGGTAAACATGTCACGGATTGCAAATACAGATAAACCAGATTAAGCACAAATCATGGAGTGGAACACTCACCTATCATGCAATGCAGTAGCCGAACGTCAAGTATCTCGATTACGACCACCTTTGTTTTCCAATCCTAGGGCAACGAGTGAAATCATTAACAAATTAGGTTCATTTCTCACTCAATTGTAAGCTCATTAAGTGATCAAGTGAGTAGTTAAAGCTACTCAATTAATCATGCAAATGAGGTCCAAATTACAGTAAAAGTGCATGACAAAACAAGTTTGGTAGGTGCATGAAAGTTTGGCAAGAGAAAAGTTTCATTCAAGGTCAAAAGGTTCTTCACGGGTAAAACAGTCGCGCCCACGCAATTTTGGAAAAATGGCTATAACTCACTGTAGGAAGGTCAGAATTAGATGCCGTTAGCGGCATTGGAAACTAGACTCGAAGGGTTTCCAACGGTACCAAATTCACACTCTAGTTCATCTCCTATCAGTACCAGTTGCTCAGACAATTCCACTGATTTTTCAACTCTGGATCAGCCCTAACCTCAAGCAAAACTACATTAGTTCTTGGTGCTATTTTCATTTGTTTTGGTTCAAATTCACCCAAATCAGTCCTCTAATGTTCATATACAGGGATTCAAGTCACCCAGTACCATTGGAGTTCAAAATGTAATACATCAATATGATTAAGAATGACCATAGCACTCTAGTCATCAAGAGAAACCAAAACAGTGCACTAGTGGTCCAATTAACCACTTTACTTGCTTAAATTTCATTCCAACTCACGCATGAGTTTAACCAATAGCTTGCCAAGTTTCTTAAGCATGATTAAGGTGCAAATGAACCACAAAAATCAAGGGGAAACCCCTCCTTCCAATACCGGTTAGCCAAGGAAAAAGAAAACAGTCCATAAGTTCACATATTTATCAATCCTTCATCCTCTCATGATTTTCACTCAAACAACATATCAAGTGTTAAATCTTCCTCAAAAGGGGTCTAAAACATGTTAATACTTTATAAACAACTATGAACAAAGTTTAAACATTTCATCAAACACATGGTAGGCATACTAACTAACCAACTACTACTTGTTTAATTCAAGAGATTAACCCCAAATCTCATCCAAAAAACTTGTAGTTTGCCTTTAAAACTTAAAGTACATGATATAACACCATAAAACTATAATTTAAAGATCATTTACCTCTCTTGTAAGAAGATTGAACCACCAAAACAATCCACCAAAATGAAAGCTTCAAGCTTGAAACAAACTCTAGGGTTGGAGAAGATTCACTCTACCAACTCAAACTTTTTTTCTTCTAGTTTGAGCTCTTGATCAAACTAGGGTTAGAAAGCAAGAAAAATAGAGTTTCTCTCTCTTGAGAAGCTTCAAGAATTCAGCCAACCTAAGAAATAATAGAGCCAAGAATGGTTTAAATTTTCTCTAACCTTTGGTCAAACAAAATGCATGGCTAGGGTTTGGCCACTTGGCCCAATTCTTATCCATTTCTTTCTTAATTTTTGACTAATGATGTTTCAACCCTTCCAAATATTTCAATACCTATTTAACACCTCTAAACTATCATATAAAGTCCAACCACAATAAAAGAATATTTGGTGAAAATGCAAGTGGTGAATTAAACTTAAACCAACTCAAAGAAATGATTTAATTCAAGTAGAGGAAATGAAATGCAATACAAGGGAATTATTGTAACACATGTAGAATATAATGCAAGGGCATGTAATAAGTGGTTTAAATCTTAAGACAAGGCATGTAGTTTAGTGAAATTGTATTTTAAAGTAAGAGTTCTCACATTATCAAATGGTTAAACATTGGCCATCAAAAGAGAGGCCAGTTGCAATCCAACTTTTGGGAAGAAGTTTGGCAGGATTTGAGAGATTTTCTCTCTAATATATCTCCTATCTCTTTTCCTTTAGTATCTTGTCATTCGGGCAGAGTAGGAAGATCATCAAGAATAATTGATCTCGCTCTAGCTCACTTTTCTCTCTCTTTTCTCGATGTCTATTTCTACTTTGACTGCATTTTTCCTTAGGGTGGCGGCTAGGCTTTCTTATCTAGTTGAAGGATAATCAAGGTTTTGGTTTAATAAAATTAATTGTGAGATCAAATTTGTTTTCATTGTTCAACCTATATTTTGAGTATCGAATGTTCTTTTGTAGATATCTTTATTTTTTTTTCAACAAACGGAATTAGTACTTTCATATATTAAACTTGATAATACAAGAGTCAGTTACAAAACGGGGCAATTGCCCTCATATCTTTCCGAGCCATGTCCATCAGCCATACCGAAACTCATTGTTCCATTCTATGTCATGTACTAGCTTAATTGCATTTTGAGCTAGTGTATGGCTACACGTGTTGCCTGTTCTATACACAAAAAAAAGTTGCACTCTTGAAACTCTTTCTTCAGCTCCTCAATGTCCTCTAGGACTGTTGCAATGCTAATGTCACGGACACTGCTTGCATTAATTTGATCGACCACGGATTTGCAGTCTGATTGGACTTCTATTTTCGTCCATCCTGCAGCTTTGGCCATCACAAGCGCAGCTCTTACTGCTAACGTTTCTTCCTCCATAGCTGTTCCCCTCTTGCATTCCATTATTCCTTTTGCTCTCATCAGTTTCCCAGTCCAGTCCCTAGCTATGATCCCTTTCCCTGTTCTTACCGACTGGTTTGAGATGGCTGCATCAGTGTTAATCTTAATCACCCCTGCCTTTGGTGGTTCCCATCTGCGCTGCTGCTCTTGCTGTATTGATAGTTTTGCCATTCGCTCCTCAGCTTCATTAGCCATTTCGAACTCCAGCCATTCCTGTTGAGCTACTTGAACCACATCTCTCTCGTCTATCACTCGGCGTTCAAATATTCGTTTGTTTCTTGCCTTCCATAGCTGCCACAGGAGGTTGATTGTGATGTTAACTCTATCTCTTCCCTGATTTTCCTCCTCGGCCTGAATAACTGTTTCCCACCACTTCCATATATTATCCCTTAGCAGCATAGCCCCTTCCCATTTTACTGGTGCCATCTTCCAAGTCGTTTCTGCTATTGGACAGTGGAAAAACAGATGCTCTACCGGTTTCAGTTGCCTCCCCACAGCCCTCACATATGGGGTCTCCTTTCCCCGTTCTCTTGTGAATAACCTCTTTTACTGGCAAGCAGTTTTGCAAAACTTTCCACATGAAATGTTTCAGTTTTGCCTTTACATTTAATTTCCAGAGGTTCTTCCAAATTGTATGCTTTCTTATTTCCCAGCTTGTCTCCCCACCTGCTTCCTCCCTCCTTCCCTCACTTTGCCTCTCTTGCTTGGCCCTTGCATAACCAGATTTTACTGTATAGGATCCTGACTTGGAATCTTTCCAAAACATTCTGTCTTTCCTCCTAAATATGCTTAGGGGAATGTTTGCTATCAGCTTTGCTTCTTCTTGGTTAAACACCCGTTGTAGCTTCAGTTTGTCCCATTTTCCTTCCATAATCAGATCACTTACTTTCTGCATCTTACAGTTCGCTGGTTTAGCTGATGCAGGTTTGCCATTCGAACTTCCTGTTATCCACTTATCTTTCCAAATCTCCACAGTGCTTCCATCTCCAATCCTCTTCCATAATCCATTGAGTAGCAGGTGTCTGGCACTATGGATGCTCTTCCATGCCCAAGAGGATGAGCTAGGTGGTTTCTTTTCCTGCCACTGGTCTTTCATGTACTTGGCTTTCATCACTCTGCTTACTAACAAATTGGGAGCAGTGATGAATCTCCAAATTTGTTTTGCAAGCAGAGCTGTATTGAAAGCTTCTAAATCTCTGAAACCAATCCCTCCCTTCCCTTTCACCTCTGTCAGCTTCTTCCAACTGGCCCAATGCATTCTATTCTCTCCCTCGCCATTCTCCCACCAAAACTTTGCTATTCTTGATCCAATATCCTTACACAGACTCCTAGGGAGTTTAAAGCAGGACATTGTATAGTTTGGAATAGCCATGACAACAGCTTTGATCAGCACCTCCTTACCTCCCGGACTGAGCAGCTTCTGTTTCCATCCTTGCATCTTATCACTGATTTTCCTCTTTACATACTCAAAAACTTGCCTCTTAGATTTACCAATTGCCATTGGTAATCCAAGATATTTTCCACTTATGGCCTCTGTCATGTTGCCAAGCTCATCACCAATCTCCTTTCGATCTTGGTTGAGTGTGTTCCTGCTGAAAATCATTGCTGACTTTTCGTAGTTCACCATTTGCCCTGAAGCTTTCTCATATTTTTTAAGGATTTCTTTTACAGTTCCTGCCTCCTGTTTAGTTGCTTTGCAGCACAAAAGAGAGTCATCTGGTCATCCAAGATATCTTTATGATTGTTTCGTTTAATCACTTGGAGGTCTACTAGTTTATTATTCATTATAATCTACTATTAAGTTAGAAATCAAATCTGTAATTGTTTGATCCCTCTAACTTGTGTAGTCTCTAAGATTTATTAACTTTTTTTTACAAGAACAATTTATTTATTTATTTCAAAACTAAAAAGAGACCGTTATACAAGTTATAGAGAATAAAAATCCTGAGTCCTAGCACCTAATTAGGCACTAGCCTAAGAGATGGGAATTCTGTAGCATCCATAGCCAGACAGCGGCGGATCTCCCCTAGTAATTGCTGAAGAGAGTCAAAGACCATACTGGGGTATCCCTGTAAAGCCGCTAACCGATCTGCAACCAGATTTGCCTCCTGGAAGACATGTATAAATGAAATCGATACCTAATCTAGAAGCTGACGAATCCTTCTCAGCAAACTGCAATACGACCAACCCCTAGAGCCGACGATTTGACTAGCGACACAAGGACCGCAGAGTCCGCCTCCACCAATATACCCTGTATCCCCTTTGCCTCACACACTAGCAGCCCTTCCCGCACTGCAAGTGCCTCAACCTGCAGTACCCCCTTCTCCCCAAACTCTTTGTAGAAAGCAAACACAAGTCTACCATTGGAATCGCGTAGCACCCCTCCCCTACTAGCTCTCCCATTGGCCACACTAGCATCTGTGTTTAGTTTGTACCACAAGGCTGGAGGTTTTGTCCATGTAACCATCACTGCCCACCGATTATGGGCCACCCTAGATGTTAGTCTTGCCCATTCACAATCCAGATCCCCATAGAACTGAGCCTTTTCAAGTTTGTTTGCTCTTCCCACGTCATATAAGAAAGTAATGACCTCACGTGTGACCGTCCAAGTAGAAAAAACCTGATCTTCAAATCTTGCCTTATTTCGTCCCTGCCAGATGAACCATGCCACCAATAGCAGGAGGACACATCTTATATGATGTGCAGGGATGCGAGGCAGCAATGTGGCCCACTTCCTCCATAACAGCTGAAGATCATCAAACGGGAGGTGAAGCATTCCAAACATAGTAGCAAAATGCCCCCAGACCTCCCTCGCCACCGGTCCACGGACAAAAAAGTGAAGCACCGATTCCTCCTCTGCGAGACAGCAGGAGCATCTGGATATCAAGGGCAGACCTCTTCGACGCAGCACCGAATCCAAGGGCACAAAGTTGTTCAACAGTCTCCAAGCAAAGATAGATATTTTCAGCGGAACACCCCTATTCCAAACCAGACCATGCATCGGGAAGCCACCTCTACTTTGTCGACATAGCTCCCATACTGAACTCAATGAAAAGCATTTCGTCGTTGACCCCGCCCATATGATCTGATCCTGCCCATCAAGGTCGAAAGGAGTCTCCAATATCAAATCCACCAGATGGCAAGGAAGCCACTGCTTTAGTCAGTCCCCATTCCACCCATCTCGACTAAAGAATTCTGCCACGAAAAAATGAGGTCTGATCATATCCGTTGGAACCAAAGTGCCTAAGGGACCAAGCTCACACCAAGTGTCAAGCTAGAAATCCACCATGCCCGGTCCCAGGCTCCATGTAATCTGAGATTCAGCCAACTCCAGTATACCAAGGAGCCGCTTCCATGTACCCTTCGGTCTTGCTACCATCGCCTGGAGCGGGTGTTGGTCACCGATATACTTAGAGAACATAAAATCCAACCATATGGATCCCCGTTGACGAAGCCGCCACCATAACTTACAGGAGAAGGCTTTGGCCATGTCATCCAACGAGCGAACTCCCAATCCCCCCACCTTTGCGGGGAAGCACAGCTTCTCCAAGACGCCCAATGAATTCGTTTAGTGTCCAGAGCTTTATCCCATAAAAAAGAGTTGAATATTCGTCCCAAGGCAACCAAGACCGCCTTAGAGAGTTTAAGAACCTGCAAAAGATACAGCGGCATCGAGTTCAAAACGTGCTTTAAGTGAATTAATTTACCCCCATAGACAGCAGCTTCGTACTCCAGTGGAAAACCAATGCCCTGACCTCGCAATAATCCTATCAAAGGCAATTGACGAGCACCAACCTCACGAAATGGGAATATCAAGATAGACCAGGGGAAAAAACTGCCGTTGAAACCCTAGAATGGAAGATACAATTTTCACATGCGCCTCAGTCGCCCCAGACGGGCACACAAAGCAGCTTTTTGCTGCATTTATCCTCTGTCCTAAATACTGCTGATATTGCCTAAAAAAGCCTCCCACTGCTTCTAAGGTCTCCCGCGATAGTCTCGTGAAAATAGTGACATCATCGGCGAATGCCAAATATGGAACTCTGCCTCCTCCAGCTTGGAAAAACCTATGTCTGCTTTGGCGGAATAAGGCAGCCAACCCTCTTCCAAAGAATTCAGAGACTAGCACAAAAAGACCTGGCGAGATCGGATCCCCTTGTCTGACTCCTCGCGTCGACTTGAAAAACCCCGCCGGCTCCCCATTTACTAGCACCAAAAACCAATTATTTGCAACCAGGTGGAAGATCAAATCGACTGCATTTTCTTGGAAACCAAAAGCACGAAGCATGAAAATAAGAAAAAACCACTCCACTCTATCATACACCTTTTCCATATCCAGTTTTAACATGAGGTTTGAAGCCTCCAAACAACGGTCGAGTTCCTGTGCAATGAACAAATAAAAAATGTCTAATTGTAATTATTGATATTACATAAAAGATGTCATATTATTTTCTCGAATATATGTTGTCTTCTTGGTTGCATTGCCCATATTCATCCTCATGTTTGATGGATAACCTTAAACAATTGATGATTAGAAAGTCCTCTATACTCCTACACACTGCATAAGCCAAGCATTTTAACCAAAAGAAGCTTTAGGGGTATATCGCATTTAACCCTAAATATTATTTGTTAAATTTGTTGTATCTCTATGAATATAATAATTACGAGTTAAATGCTTTAAATTCCATGTTGCTGTCACACCTTGTATTCCATTGGAGTCCAATAATTAACACCATAAGCATATTCATCAATAGTTCTTGCAGAAATCCAATTAGTTGCCCGTTTTGGATGAATTTTGGTTTCCAAGTTCCACCAATTCATTAGTTTAGAAAATGTACTAAGCAGTTAACTGTGTTTTGGATCTTGTGTCTGTTTTCATCCGTTCTATCGCCAAGAGAAAAAGGGCGATGCCTTAACCAATTAACAGCCACAAGACAACTTAATAGAGCTTGGCTTAATTTGAAATGCAGTTCTTTGAAAAACTTGGAAACTTGATGTTGTTAGAGTGCATGAAACTCCAGATATATGCAGCTAGTGGAGAATATGTTAATGAAGAACCTTGCATCTTTGAGGCACTAATCTTTTCTCTTGGCATTCTCATTGCTGAGCTTAACTGTGGAAAGCGCGATAGGTTGATGATTTCCCTTGTTTCTTTGATTCCTAATTTTGAGTAAAAATCGATAAACTTGTTTGCTTTTTAGGAATTACGAGTAATTTCTTGAGTTTTTCTTTGGAAGTAGTTAACTTACGTTGTTTACAGAAATAGTATGCCTTTGTGGATGAACATACCACTTGAAGTAAATACCAAAAGGCAATTAGATTCATCAAACAACTTTTCTTAACATAGTCATGTAGGGTGAGAATAAAATTTGAAAGAAACTTTCTTTGTGACATTGATCATTAGCTTCAATAATTGCAGAAGAAATGTAAAAAAAAAAAAAATTGTATCAAACAAAGATTCCATGGTTAAAACATAGCATAAAACCTTTCTCAACATGCTTATTAGGTCAAGAAGCAAACTTTTCCATCATAATGATTATTGACTTCAACAGTTACAGATGGAAATGATAATCGAGGATTAACAAATCCGGATTGAACAAAAAAGACACAACTGATCAGTGTAACATGGAAAATTTTGAGGTGGAAGCAGAAGCTTTGCCAATTCATAAACCGGATTCTGGTATAGTTCTAGTTGGAAGGTGGAAGCTTTCCGGCCAAGAAGGATGAGAATAAAGTGAGTGCACGAGAAGGCTGATAGCTAGGAACAAAATGTCCAGCTCCCCTCACTGTCACAAAGGTCAGGTTTTCATATTCCACTGCATAACCACCAACCTGAGAGGACAGAAATGAAGTTAAAACCATTCATGATTATCTAAATGCAATCCGGTTTTCAGCAGGAATTGATCTAATTAAACAAATCTTAAGTATGGTCATAAATCTTGATTTTTTCTTACCTCGCCTTGGGTGTACCAAGCATACCAAGGATTTTTCACCACAAATCCGAGTTTGTTTAAGGCATACTTAGTTGTTGTTACAGAACATACACTATCTGTGTCTCCACTGCAATTCAAAAAGTTCTAAGCCTCAATTCACAAATCACTAACACAAAGCAGATGCATAAAAAATTCATACACTTCATAATTTTGCTTTTGCTCAAACTTGTGACATTAGTACCTATAGATCCAAACGCTAATGCCACTCTCAGTCAATTCCTTGATGGTAGTAAAACTGTATCCGGTTCGTCATCCCAATTAAGGTGTATGTAGTCACTGTTTGAACATGCAGATTACAAGAAGACAATTAGTTAAGTCACATAGGAAGTGTAATGTAAAAATTATGCGTCTATCAGATTTTGAATAATGCAATGCTTACTTGCAGGAATCCCATGGTCCTGGGATGACAGTGGTGTTAGCATGAAGTGACTTTTGCACTTGAGGAGTATTTAGATAAGTGTATACATAATGATCCGAGCAAGGATCGAACTCTGATATCTACTTAATCAAAGGGGTAAGAAAACCATGTCAGAGTTGATTTGTCCATCAGGGATATGGAACACCAAGTCAGTGGATTTTACAATTGATAACGAAATCTTACCGTAGCAGGAGTATTTGAAGAAGAAGAGCACAAGGGAGCATAGATATTGTAATCATCAATATTGCCTTTAGCTGAATCTGCTTGGTCCTCGTATGTCTGACAAGCATCTGATGTATTTCCTGAAGAAAAATTGCAATTGGAAAATATACCCTATCCGAGCATGGGTCCAGTAATAATCATAAGTCCCACTGCCTTGTGTTTCAATATCAACGTATGGATTCCCAATCTGAAAATCATGGACGATATTTAACCACCATTCGGTGTGAAAAGAAGCCCGTCAAACTGTTGAAAGTTCAAAAAAGAAAAAACTTACAGCAATTCCTTTCAAGTTAATGACAGTTTGGTTCGTTATCTTATTGTTATGGAGAATGAGTTGAGCAAGCTGAGGCACGTAATGACCAGCGTAGCTTTCTCCGGTTATCAAGAAGTCTCTGGTTTTGTACTCAGGGAACCTTTCTAGCCAGTTGACTAGAAATGTATAGGAATCTGCTGCAGTTTTTGTATCTCCGGTAATGTAATCTGAGGATGTATTGGAGTAAGAAAATCCAACACCAGCTGGAGATTCCAAGAAGAGTACGTTTGCCACTACATTGAAGGACACAAAACGGTGGAGTTAATTGTGAATTTCTCAAAATTTTGATGACGATTACTCTGCAATTAATTGATCAGATTTTTACCAGTGTTCCAGGCATATGGATTAAGCCAGAGGGTGCTCCCATCCTTATTAACTCGGAAAGGTCCCAATTCAGTCATTGCTCCAGCTCCAATTGAGGAGCATCCAGGTCCTGTTTTCGGTTCAAGCATGCATAAAAACGTTCTTTCAAACAAGGAAAACACGAAGATGACAGACTACTCTCAATCACTATTTTTTTTTCTTAAATCTCTGTCATTATCCTATCTCTTTATTCCTATCTTTTAGGTATTTCTAATCCTAGATTTGTAGATACTTTCTCAATTATTTAAAATCCAAAATGATATAACATTGAAGAGAGTGTTATATTCGTGTGCAACTTTGAAAGGTTACAGACGTTTGTCACCTTAACTACTATTCTTCAAACAATAGCCTCTCTCTACAGAATGCTAATCACAAAATTTCAAATAGAAATACGCACCTCCATTAGCCACAAAACCAGAGGCTTGGCCGAAGAGTTTTGGGATTCGGCAAAATAGTAAAAGAGAGCTCGACCAGCTTTAGGATCAACTGTGACATACCCTGAATACTGATCAAAATTTACTGCATTTGGCTGTCCTGGCAATGTTGTGATCCTGTCAGCTTCCTTCAACCCTTCTTGAGGGCCAACATAAACTGGCGAATACTCATTTCCCAATTCCTCAGTCACATAATTCACTGATCTTTTCGAGCTTCTTCGAGCCTTGAGGTGCTTCAAAAGAGGGTCATGCTTTTTTCCTGCAAACATTGCACAGATGCCACTAAGCATACAAGAATGAGAAGAGGTAACACTAATGCACCTTTCATCCTTTAGGCGTAAAATTAGAATCCTGATTTTGTTTCACCAATGCAATTAACGTTTGTGTTTTATAGGTAGCTCTGAAGAAGAAATGTCGAATTTATCGTCCTTCTTTCTTCTTGTTCTCGTCACATTCACAATCATATGGCATTTCCTTGGTTTGTTTTCATCGTATGAAAACTGTCTCATTCCATTAGTGTAACTTTATTTGATTTTAAATATGTCGACCCAAGAAAGGTTATTGACATCTACAAAAGAGATTACTAAAAAAGAAGATCATGACATTGGAGGTGTCAAATAGGCAGACAATTACGATGAATCGATCTATCCCACACGAATTTGGAGCACAATAAATCCCAAACGAATTTGAAGCCAGACGAAATTTTGGCTTTATTATTTTTTTTTTAATTTTTTCGAATAGTAGAACAAAAGATGGTTTTTCATTTATTGAACACCAGAAATTGTTAATAACTATTTATTCTCTATTTCAGTCCCTAAACTTTTTATTTGGCCAAAAAAAACACATTGATTTACTACTAAAATGATCACTCTGGCCATATAAAAATATTTAATAACCAAAACAGAAAATTTCAAACAGTGTTGTGACTATTTTTGCTATTTTCTCTGCTTGAAAATAGAAGAATTTTTTTTAAAAAAAATAAGTTAAATACAAAACTTGGCTTCTCATTAGTCGCTAGCATAACTTTTGTTTAAGTAAAAAAAGAAATTCTTTTTGTAAGATTAGCCTCTTGTAGAAGTAATTATGATCCACATGATTGATTTTAAAGTGGTTGATATTCTGATTAATTAATTAACATTGTGTCAATAATAAATTAGTATCTCCTATTTAATAATGATTGATTGATATTTTCTACTAATTGATATCTTATTCAATCATTTAAGCAATCAAATCAATTAATTAGTTAGAAACTATTATTTTGAGTTATGAATTATGACAAGATTTTCTCGACGGAAGGAAACCATAGAGATTTTGGTAGTAAGGGTCCTTAGTTTAGCCTATAAATAATCTTTGGTACTCTATTAATTAGCACTACACTCTCTGGTTAGGCATAGATTAGAAGATTCTTATTCTAAATTTCTCTTTTGTTTATCTCTTCTTCTACAAATTTTCTTTGTTAGTATAGAGAAGAAGAAAGTAAGAAGTTCAGGAGCGATATGGATTTAAGTTCTACCTAACAACAATGGCTGGAGATAAATTATTTAAATTTTCACTATTTAGTACAAGTTGTTCGTACTTATTTGTTTAACATGTGGATGTGGTATCAGGGTCACCCTCCAGCTATATGTTGTTTAACATATAATTTTATGGTTTATTGACAATCTGATAAAAGTTGCATAGATTCATAGAATATTAGATAAATCAAATCTAATTTGGCATGAGATCTATGTTTCTATTATTTCAATGATTGAGAATTAATGACTAATCCCATGTATATGTATCATTCTTGTGATGATTTATTTGGACATGCAATTTATTCGGGTTTGTTTAATCCAGTATGACTTGCTAATGATTTGAATATTTCTTGGACTCACATATTCTTAGTTGTGGATGTTATATGTATCGATACACATCATGATTATTGTTATCAACGTACTTTAACATTCTCAGAAACATATAATTGGACTTTGGCCATCCAATATGTAGTTATTTACATCTCACTTTTTGGTTGAAATGAGTATTCTTCAAGACAACTTGGTATGATTAATTTATATGATTGAGTGCATACATGTATAGTT